CCCCCCCCCCCCCCCCCCATTTCCCCCCACCCCAAAAAAAGAAAACGTCTACTCTCCAGAATGAGGACATTCATTTTTCTCATCGGGTCTCACTATTACTGCTACATTCATTTTCTTTCTCCCAGAGGGAAAGTGAGATTAGTTACGAAAGGAGATGTGTAGCTGAAAAGCACTTGACGTTCCCGCCTTACATTCACATTAATTCATACGAGGATTCGAGATGCAGTGAAGAAGAACCGTAGCTCAATTGTCATGACTAGTTGGTGTGACTAGGCAAATATTTCACTGTTGTGGTTGTAAATTAGGCCTTTTTAATCTCCATCTTCACTTTATCAACATACTGAATGATTCAGTCGAGTAGTTTTGAAAGGGAACAGGAGTGAGGGAGACAATACACTGATGAAAGGTACATTTGTTTACAGCTCATTCATAAAACTAAGTCTTCACACGTGATTATTTGTTATTTTATTCTGCCAAATGAGAAAACAGAAACATTTCTCATGTGGGTTGTGCAGACATGGGGCCTCACTCTGGAGCCAAATGTATACGAGGGTCCTTAGCCGGGAGGAAAGAGGTACACTGATGGAAAACAACCACCAGCTGCAAGAGCCAGGCTAAGAAACTGTCATACTATGTATAATACTGCACAGCACAGTGTTTTATTCTGGGTTCACCGATCAGTAGCTGCAACAATAAAGTGTACTGTGAATCATCCAGCTATTCAAAACAATTAATAGACACATTTTATTTTTAAAAACTACTTTAAAAGGGAAAATTTACTTTGATGTAATGCGTTTTACTCCATATTTAAATGAACTGGTTTGAAGAGAACGGCAGAAAAAAACAGTACAATATAATATCTTCAAAGTGTAAGCCAATGTTCTCACTTACTATAAAGCACCACCGGCACATAACCTAAAACTATGTTCAATAGCACATGCAATGGTTATTAAAGACTGGGTAGAGAATCTGTTTGGAACAACGGATTAGTGCCAGATTTAAATCCATAATGCTATTTTCGAAACGGGATCACAACCACACGTGTCCATCAACTTTGTTTTTTTACAGAAGAACTTTAGAAAAATATGTTTACATTTTAATTCAGCCTGAGAGCAGTTCTTGCACTGCATGATTTGTATGTCTAGTAGCATCTAACATGTATCTTTACTTTAGCATGTAGTCATAAATGTGCGATTAATACTGGGTTACTTAAGTAACCATTAACCATTCCTTCACATCCATTATCTAACGTATTTTGTCATTCAGTAATCTAGCCATCTCAAACTCTGACTGGGATGAACACCCTTGTCCTTAACCTGAGATCAGTATGAATGGGCAACTTTTGTCCTCACAATCTCACTTCTTGAGTCTGGATGTCTCCTCCTGTAGGTTACAGCTGAAATAACCAACCGACCTGTTAGATTACAAGAGGTCAACTACATAGGAAGTCCTTCACACAATTATTTACATCTATCTGTTCAAAGATATATGTTTTATGTATGACTAGCACACAATAATCCGTAACTGTTGACTGACCATTTTCACAAAAGGCTATATCATTACTCAGAAAAAAATACTGCCAACTTCTCTTTGCCAGTCCCTCGTGCAATTAACAACTGTTATATTATTCTACTTAAGGTTTCCACTGTTAAGTGGAAACCTTAAGTGACTTAAGGAGTCACTGTTTAAGCAGAAATAAACTGCTGAGATGTTCAGTTGAAAACAAAAATATGGTTTCATGAATTCAGTAATTTATGTATGTTGAACTTTTGAACTTCTCGTACTAAAAGGGACAATTTACTATCATATGTATTTTACATTGAACTAACATCAATGCTTTTTGGCAGTAGAGACAGTATTTACATGCGTGGACAACTTTCTCCCAAATCTGGATATCAGGAGCACAAAGACATAATTTAACGTTGTCATGTAGTAATATTTATGTCCACTGGCACTAAATCAGTGACTCACTCCTGAAGTCAGAGCACTTGAGTTGATGTTTGGCATTTCATTTTCATTTGAAAATATATATATATATATATTATGCATATCCATTTTAGGTGGAGGTTTCAAATAAGCCTAGTTGGCTTTCTGCCTCTTCCTGCACTGTGATATTAATTTATCTCTGTTATGTTTGTTTATATGTTCATAAACTAATTTCACTTCATATCGTGAAGTTAAATACAACGTATATATTTCGTGTTGTTTTCTTTGCACGTCTACTACATTTAAGACAAAGCTAAAACATGTCGCTGTGGCGTATACATAACTCAGTGTTAGCTTATTATGTTTTCGTTAGCCTTTGGATGTTGTTAGCTTTTAGCTAACTAAGCTACATTAGCGTCGCGGTCACCATGGTGACTGGGAAAGCCAGAGCAGCGTCACGATGGGTAACGTAAACAGCAGAACGCTGACGTGCAATAACAAACCGTCCGTTTTGAATTTAGACTTAAAATACGTGTCATTTTTAAAGTTGTACGTGTGTCTCTGCGATGGTTTCTCACCTTTCCACACGCACCGTCTCCAATCACTACGATTTTAAGCTGCCGGTCCTGGCTGTCCTCCTCCGAGTCCGACATGACGCTGAAATGTGGGCCGACTGTATCAGCGCAGAAAACCGAAAACAACAACAACAAAACAAGTCCCGGGTTGTCTGAATTTAGTTATCGGGCTAATCACAGATGGATTAAACGGGTGTTGAGCCGTGTGCACCAAGCAGCAGACGCCATTTTGACTCTACTAACGTAACACCGCTGCTCTGCTCGGCATGATCCACTCAGACACTGACGCACACTGATGCACACTGCACACTGATTTTCGGGGTAAACGAGATGAAACTGGTACCGAATAAACAAACCGGAAGTCCACTTTCAGTCTATAAATATTTATATTTTTAGTATATCGCCATGAAGCCCTTTCTTTTGCCTTAACGGGGATAAACGGTCAGAACCGGAAACCCATTCACCGGCCGCGTGGTTGCGTCCTGTGTGTGTGACGCGTTGCTGTTGCCGTGGTAACAGAGGTCAGAATGTTGAATATATAAAAACATGCGCAACAACAATTGGGCCTAAGATTGTTTTAAAGTAATTATTTTCAAAAGTACTGTACTTACCTACAGCTTAGAAGTACTTAACTATAACTATACTTCCACTGCGCAAACATTCAGGGGAAATATAGTCTCTTACTTTTGACTCCTCTACTTTTTTGACTAACTTTGAATATTTACACAAAACACATTATGATCACCTTATTAAATATACGATACATTGCCATACAACGAGGTAACACACAGTATAGGCTATATCAAGCAATTAAAAGCTCCACCTCGACCACACACACAACACTAAAATACTACTTACACGTTCATAAGTAAAAACAATCCAACAATATATATGTGGCCTATCAATACATAATCTGCTGCTATTAATCAGCACCACTGTCACTTTAACATGCAATTGTGTCTGCAAACGCTCTTGTATAATTTACATTTTATTATTCTTATTTTAGGTTATATATTTCTTATCTATTTCTGTTACATTCTGTATTTATTTCTGACCTTATCGATACTTTATATTTGATATTTTTACAAATTGATACTTTTACTTGAATAAATGATCTGAATACTTCCACTACATATGTCTTGCTGAAAGTATAAAATATATAAATAGCCTCTTTCTCTCTCACATACTCTTTTGCACAGGATTTTAATCAAACATAGATACGTTCATACTACGTTCAGTCTATTATCTAGAATTCTCATTTGCTAGTACAGTTCTTTCACAAATAGACTATAAATCTGTTTAATAGATTATTATTATTATAATATATTTTTATTATACTGTATATTCACTTATTATATCTGGAAATCCTTTTTGACTACAGTAGATATCTGTAACATAATATTTATAATGTACTTCCAACACCTAACTGCATACTATTTGACTTGTCTTGAAGTAAAGCACACACAAACAGTACACGTACACACAGGTACACTATCATGTCAAACTGAATCACAATTCTTGACAATTTAGGTTCACCTGAATGAAAACACAGATCTAAAATCTACAGGGCCAACAACCACTTTAAGCTTTTAAGGGTTTTTATGCCCTTAAATCAATATGGACTCTGCAGTGTTAAAGGTTAATGTTATTCCTGAGACATCCTAGTCATAGGTAGACAGACATATTTTATTTTTCCTCGACTAAATAGCTGAACAATCTCCCAGTTCCAGTTCACTTCACAATATCTTAACAGTGTGATCGATGACACACTGGTGTATTTACCAAATAAAGTATGACTATTGTTGGGAAATGAATTCCAGTCTTTGACCAAAATAACAAGACTGAACATTTAAGTACAATTATTTTGTGACATTTCTCTCTGCTGTTTTTGTAATTGATTCCCATCAATTCAAGACGCAAAGCTTGATATGAACATAAACAAAACGTACAGTTAAAGAATCATGAATCAAGGTTGAATTAGTCTCTGTGTGATCTGTTGCCAAACAGAAACTTTACTCATCTAATCATGGTTCATGTTTTTAGTTATTTGTCGGTTTGGAGTTCAGAAGATTAAACATAATTTGCACCAAAACACATCCTTTAAAAATAGAGACCAAACTATTAAGTAAAGTAAGAAATGTAAAATAAAACAAAATAATTCATGAGGAATTACACATGTGTGTCATGACCTTAAACTCTAGCCCATGCTTTTTTATTAAGAATTAACTTTATCTCAACTGTGTGAGCTGTAGCTCAAGTGTGATATCGACTAAGATATATTTACTGTATGCTCTAAAAAAAGTGAATTCAGTTTTCTTGTGTTTGAACCTCTTAAATCCGCTCTGTCGTGGGATTATGTTTAGTGGAAGTATTCGCTACTTTCCCGCTAATTCCCGTCTACATGCATATGTTTTGTAATATTTCTGTAAAATTGTGCGCTGCAGTTCTTTACAAACCAAAAGGTTGAATCACGGTCCTCGTCTTTCACTTGCTTTTCACCGCAGGGGGAAGGACGTCGCTGCCACATGAGGGATGGAGAGGAATTTGCACCTGGGCCACTGTGAAGCAGGTGGCAGTGACTGTCAGGTCAGTGTCCTCCAACAGGACTATGAGGGTGTGATTGACAGCAAACTCCAACCGGACAGAAAGCTTTGGAGGGAAATTAAGCCTAATTGTTTTTGAAAAGAGGTTGAAGGCAGAAAGGCGAAGAGAGAGAGGCAGCAGTTTGAAATATTCTGTCTGTTAGCCTACTTCATTTCATTTCTCTGGTTGAGTGAAACCTTATCGTCTAAATGAAAGCATTTTAACCCTTCAGGAACAAGGAATATAAAAACCAAATGGATTAAAGACAAGTTAATTAAATCTTCAATTATCTTATCTTAAATATTGGGCTCAACTGTTCCACAAAAACGCACCAAAAGTGAAAAAATACGAACAAAAAAAACATTTTTGGATCACTTTTGTGGTAATATTATCAATATTTGAGACAATGACATGGAAACTCCAATATTGTTGAACTGCGGTTTCCAATTGAGCTATATCATACGGGGTTTTCAGTCTGCATTGCCTCGAAATATTGATGAATAACATGTATGCAAATAAAGACATAGACTGTTACCATGTTTCTACAAAGATGTTTGTACATTGTGGTGCAAAGTACAATAGTGTTCAAACACATGAAAACTGACCTGTGGACACGAATTTAAACGCATGATAGATATCTGTCTTATATTGTAACATGTTTGATTTGATGGTTTATTAGACACGATCAGGTTGGTAAACGTTACTGCAGGTCTACAGAGGTTACACAGTATCATCTGAAGTTACAGAGGGAGAAATATTCTATTATTGATTTAAGCTACTCAAATAAATGAACATGTATTAACCGGTTGAGTTATTGCATTTAAGGCTCAGAAATCAATTTTTTAAAAACATAGTTTTCAGCCTCAGGAGCTCTGGTTAGTGTGAATCTTGAATTTATCGATTTATAGTTTTAACAAAATAAAATTCAGAAATAGCAGGCTTATCAAAACCAACTCATATTTGAGGAAATAAGACTTTACGTTGTGTCACGTGCACATTCCTTGCAGTGCAATTTGGTGGTTAACCGTTAATTTACAGGGACATTTAAAGGAGACATCAGGCCATTTTATGCTTCTTTTAACGTTCCCATCTTTCTCTGTGGTCGCTCCGCCACAAAAAGAAGTAATACATCTCCAAAGAGGACCCCGGCTGGAAGCAGTGTCTGTCAAGGAAACTATAACTCGGCTATATGTGCGTCAAATGATGTCTAAATGGCAATTGGTTCTGGTCGATAACAACTGTTGAAATTTTCTGCAAATGAATGAATGAATTAAATGAATTACCCTACTGCTGAGTAAAAGAGAAGAGCAGACTGAATCTTTAACTCACAGGACCATCAGGCCAGAAATAAAAATGAAAAAAGAGCTCGTGGCCGTATAATTTCAAAATAAATAGAAAAAACAAATGACGATGTGTTGTTGGACAACATTTCTGTGGGGAAATCCATAGTCAGCAACTGCAATTCCAGAGTTTCTCTTTTGTTCGAAATCACAATTCCCAAACTCCACGCGTTACTCCGGAAACGACAAAAAGGTTCGACGTAATCTAGAAAGTGCAATTTTTTGTTTAATTATATGGGCAGAACTATGTTACCTCTGTGCAACCTTCCGTAAAGTGCGGAATTGATTTGGTTTTTTCTTTTCTGGTGAAGCCTCGACGTGAAATACAGTCACATCCTAATTAATGACTACAATACATATGTTTCCCACGCACACATCAGTTTTGCAAAAAAAAAAAAAAAAGAAATAACGGGGAGACGTGATGGGGTGAATGCACACCGATGGGGGTGTTTGCATTTCAACGATCGCAGGTTGAAAGGAAAAACAGCCGCAATATGTCCCTCTATCAGATATCTCCACATGCAGGTATGAAAGGAAGTTATGTGGGACGGTCCACTCCTCCGTATCCCTCTCTGCCCCTTCAGAGCAGCCAATGAGCAGCATCGTTGCCACTGGAGAAAGCCTCGAGAGGCTACCTGCATCAAGGAGATCATATTTTAGGACATAGGCGCCGTCTGTGAGTATGACGGTTTTTACCATGTAGGGTTAAAGAAGATGGGGCACTGATCCACCAAAAACCCTACATATGCCCTGGTGTTGGTGCGTAAAAGCGCAGTGCTGTCAGGGCTAGAATGCAGATGTTCCCACTTGTGTCCACATAAATGACTTAGGATAACGTGTTGCTCTTTCATTGTCCACATCTTACAGAATTGATGCTTAGAATTTCTTGGACATCTTTCTTCTGTATTTTCCCTCACCTCACACATAAAACCTTTGTATATTCCCGCTAAACAGCAGCAGACTGTATAAGTCTGCAAGGGATGTAGGTATTCTTTACGGCCAAAGATGGATGGCTGATGTACGGCAGCTCCCCACTGACCCCGACTTAGCATCCAGGCGGCAGTGGAGACAGAATAGCATACTCCCGTAATACTTCAATTCCAGTATTATGCCTAAAATCAGGAAAGAGAGCTTAAAGCATTTTCCCTGTTGACAAAAATGTATTGTTTACGATCTGCCAACTTTAAGGCGCAGTGACATGGGCCTCCTTAACCCCGGAATACTCCTTTCCTTGTGTTGACATGCAGCCCTAAAGGTAGCTGTCCGGGAATCACAGAGCAATTCATCATTGTTTGACAGGTGTGTTTGGGAAGAAAGCCATGGTGGCCCAGATGACACCTACAAGGTGTGTACAGTGAGTGTACAGCACGAACAGTATGGGGAAGTTTAGGTGTTAAAAGCTTACGTTTCGATAATAATAAAGTTGTTTTACTAGAGAAAATGCGCAGGATAAAGCGCGTATGAGTTTCTGTATTTGGCCTGTTTGCTCTCAAAATACAAAAAGCTGGCCTGAATCAACCGCTAATGAAAATGTAACTATTAAAGAGTTATTTATAAGCCATTTCAGTCGTATATGTCCTCCAATGTTTTTTATTTAAACCTCCAGATTCCTTTGGTCAGAAAAGAGGAGCGCAAAACATCAAGTTTGTACATCAAAGCGAGGCTTGTAAAAACCCAGGTTGTAGCAGAGTTGATGTATTTCTCTTTTTTCCCCTGTCACTGAGTTGTCAAACTAAACTACATTTGTAATCCAGTGCATCATTAAATAGTAAATATGTTAGTTATTATAATTGTTGGTCAAATCTGACAGTAAAATGTTCCTGTTCCAACGTTACACTTGATAATAAAAACCTTAAAATGAAATTGCATCCAAATGAAAGTAATGCCTGATATGTTTTAATGTTTTTTTTCGATCTAAAACAGTCATTTTACACAAATAACACATGTACATTTTAATTAGAAGTAGGCCTGTTTTATAGCCTGCTTCCTGCCACGAGATTACTTTTAGGCCAATAACACACGAGACCGCCTCCTCTCATCCCGACACTATGCCCACACTAAAATGCATTTTACATTGAAGTAATGTAACGTAGATAGCTCAAAAGTGCTGAAATATCTTACCTTTGCAAACACAGCAAGAAAAAAAAGACACAACCTGTAACTGAGACAGTTATATGAAAATTCAATGGAATATGCCTATTTCCAATCACTGCAGAGGTAGGAAGGCGCATGTAAAATATAAACCAACATGGTGACATTTTCAGCCTGTTCAGGCCGCCGGTTTCCAAAGTGAGGTCCGGGGGGCTTCAGAGGTCCTTGAGGGTCTCCCGCGCAAAGAGAGGAATACTTCAAAGTGATTGCCTTGTCACTCCTCAGAGGTTAATATACTGACATTTTAAAAGAAGGTCCATTCTCCCCGCTCACCAACAGTATGATTTGATAGCATTAATCATAAGCAACGTCTTCTTGAACGAGGTTCCTCGGGACAGACTCGTATTAAATAAACGAATGAGTCGTTTGGAAGTATTTGAGGATGTGAAAACAGTTTGGGAACCCATGGTCTGGCCTGGAGCAACACGAGGAGGCAGATGAGCAGATTAGTCCCCTCGGGTCTCATCCTCTTGTTAGAAAATAAGTCTAGTTAGTTTGATTCTAGGAACAAAATAATCAAACAAAAATGAATAAATACAGTCACAGAGTTCTCACTGATTCCCCGCACATGCAGAGAGTGTCCATGCAGGGAGGCAGTAGGCGTAAGGGTAATAGTAGGACGGCTGCAGGGAGAGCAGCGGGGGCCGCAGGATCTCTCCCGGGCTGTACTGTCTCTGGTCGTCCCGCACCAAAACTTTCACCGCCACCTTCTTGGCCGCCGGGGTCGACGCCATCAGGTCCGCGGCCATCTGCCGGCGTTTCGTCTTATACCGACGGTTCTGGAACCAGATCTTGACCTGAGTCTCTGTGAGTTTCAGGGAGGCCGCCAGGTCCGCCCGCTCCGGCCCGGACAGGTACCGCTGGTGGTTGAAGCGACGCTCCAGCTCGAAGACCTGCGCATGAGAGAAGGCGGCCCTGGAGCGCTTTTTCCGCTGTTTGGGCTGGTCCTGGCTCTTCTCGTCCAGGGTGCTGGAGTCTGGGAGAGGGAGATACGCAGATGGAACATGCAAGTCAATTCCTGTATTTGTGTGTTATTTAAATACAGCTGGAATCGCGCGTGCTGCATGGTTTAATATGAGATTGGTGCGTGTTTTTGGATGTGACAAAGGAAACCTGAATTCATGTAAGTGTGCACACTTTTACAAAAGTATGTTTCAATTTTCTATTGAAGAAAGTTGTTTGAAATGACAGTTGAAAATGCTTGACCAGGGTTTTCATTATGGCCTAAACATCACAACTAATGTGCAGATGTTTATTTGGGACGAGCTGGAGTTTATTTTTAAAATAGGCTTCAATTATCCGCGTGGGTCTTGTCGTTTTTAACTTTTGTCCAAAGTTAAATGGGACCATAACAGACTTGAGTCAGGGTATCCATTAATGATCGCGCGTAAGACTAGAACAATCCGTGCGTAAAAGGTGCTGGAGAGATGCGGAGAGATTTTGTACCATGAAATATCTTGTGCAAACAGGCCTGCTATCCGTCAACAACACAATCGGAGCACACCAGATTCTGCAAAACTGTACCAGCAGTATTAAACTGCAGTATTGACAGGCCACTTGGTTCTTGACATGTCTGTTTTAGAGATACAGTTTAATCAAATCAAGGAGCACCACTTTATTTTTACTTTGTGTACATTTGCATATTAGTCTTTCAGTCCTACTCACCCGTAGCATTATTGGGCTCACTGTCACTCTTTGCGTTTTCCGCAGCTGCAGACTCGTGGTCCGTCTCCTCCTGCAAACTTTCCTCCGGCACATCGGACACGTTGTCTCCGTCTTTCTCCGACTTGCACACGGCCAGAGTCTTGCTGTCGTTGTCATCGCTGAGTCCCGAGTCCGAGTCGTAGCTTTTCTGGTCCGTCGGCTCACAAGTCTCCCCATCATCTCTCCGAGACCCGCCGTTCATCTCCCCAAATATTTTCCAGCACGCGGTTTTGGAGAAGCACATGTCCAAATCTGGCAAGTGTCGGCTGTCGTCCTTTTTGTTCAGGATGGCTTGGATTGAGAAAGGCATCAGCGAGTTGCCACGAACGGCCATTTTCAAAAAAAAAAAAAAAAAGCGAAGTTTGCTCAGTTCTTCAAGTTGAGTAATTAACCGTCCCGGATAGAAGATTCAATATCAGTTCATCCACATTTTAGGCTACTCCCTCCGTGGAGCACTGCTCTGGCTTATGTTTTCCCCCCAGTGTTGGTTCCTGGTCGCATCCCAGCGGGAGAAGCCGTGGAAAGGTTCTGCTACATCCGCAGGCTCGATGCTGCTCCTCCGCATAGCTCTGCCATCAGCCCGGGCTCGCTCCAGTCTCTGGCCCTTTTCACCCAATTTTTCTTTTACCATCCACCCTCACCTGTGACACACAGGCACTCCTCGTCGCCTCCTATTGGCCCGGAGAGGAAGAAAGCCGTTTCACGATTGGCCACTGTACACTACGTCATGTTGCTTTCAACCGGGTGGGAAAAAGTTAAATACATGTTGGTCGAAGTTTTTCACAGGAGGCTGAACTGACATGCAGGTTGCAACCACTCAACACATTTCACCCAAAAGTTCTTCCAGATCAGGAAGGGCAGACTGTATCTCTGCATGGCTGATATTTAAATGTCTTGTACATTGTAATTTATGATTCATTTGGCTTAAGTGCCGAATGTTGTGTGCTGATGATGTTTAAAGTTTGTCAGAAAAGGCAAAGTCTCATGCGTAAAAGTCTGCGATCAAGAAGCACATAATCGGCAGCAATACCAGTCGAAAAGTAAAACGGGAAATCTTGTCTCCCATTATCCGTCTATCACTTGAATGCAGCATCCGGACAATAAATTCGTAGGATATGTCATCTTTTTTTTTTTACTTAACCCTTCACCATCCAAACAGGTCTGCTGGGAGTCCCGTGCGTAGTAACCCGTAACATGACGGTTTTTAACATTTTGGGCACTGACCAACGTGTGTCAGGTTTTGAACAATTTACCATTTCTACGTTTGGTTAAACGTAAACGTCATCGATGTCACTTCCTTGGCGGCCTGCATCATGGATCGCCATGACCAGGTAGGCCTCAGCTGGTGCACAAACCCAATTCTTGCTTTCTATAAAAATGACTGAAAATATCAACCATTTTCTGTTACCTCCTGTTGACTCGTGAAACTGTTTCATTAAAGAGGCAAATATATTTGATAACAGGTGAAAGGCTGCTTATAATTGAACACCAGGCAGCTTGTGCAACGTTCCATAAACACAGGTTTTCACTGAAATTATCTCTTTCAGCACATTTGACTTCATATAAGTCTATTTGTAAAAAAGAATGAATGCTCAGATTTAATTTTTGCAGCGTAAAGGGAAAGCTTGTTTGTTTTCTGTTACCCGCTGTTGATCCTCTGTTTACTATATATCTCTAAACGTCATGGAAATGGCGTGCATGAGCATTATTAAGTATTATTTAGCTTTTTCGTGTAGAACTCAGCTCTGTTTCGGGGATTTAAGTGGACAAACTTCTGTTGCTGCAGGTCCGGATCGTGACCTCTGCCGTGTTTCACGTCGCCAGAGCGGACTTCACAGCGTTTCTGCTGTTTTTTATTAACCAACCAATAACAATTTAAATGCTTCTCAACACTATATTTTAGAAAATAACGTTAAAATGATTTTTGCTTTGACAACAGCGTATTTTATAAAATTGATATTAGGCAGCTATTATTTAGGCAAATTGACAATCTGTCTTAGTGTGTGGAGGCTTTGATGGATTCATTCCTTCATATTATATCCAACAGGCTCGTAAAAGTTTATGTTTTATTCTTTATAATAGTGTTTTTATGGAATTATTTCACCTGCTTTATCAGTATTCATTTTATTTAACCAGCTATACTTAATAACCCCGGGCTAATCCGACTGTTAATGATTTAATGTATTAAATAAGTATTAAATTAAATTCATCAGGTCTAATAAATGATATAAATCATCCTGATGGCTTCAGTGCTGAATCGATAAAAGTGATGTTTAATAAAATAAGGCAATAAATAATACATTTACAACACAATTTAAATATGATAGGAGGCCTAATGATAATAATCACAGTAATAATTATAATAAACTTACTTTTGTTTTCGTTAAAATCGAAAACTAAAGAAAAGCTCCGTCAGTGCAGAAGATAATTGAAACATATTTTTATTTTGTTATTTTGGCTCAATTTTTAATTTGCATTCGTCTTTTGAGACTTGTTGTATTTTCTGCACGTGACCCGCTATGAATAAACCAACAGACTGAGCGCCTAACAGCTGATTCTGAGACAAACGACTTTGACTTTCAACCTAAATTACTTTTTAAAAGTATATATTTTAATCTCTCAAGCGTTGTCATTATTCCTAGTCGCTTGAGGCCTAATTCATGTAGCGTTTGCTGGTAAAAGTCTATGAAAAGCGGATTAAAACATCGTGTGTTTTAAACATTGACCCGTAAAATAAATGAATCATTTCTCTCCTCAATGTCACTTTACTTGTAACATTTATGCACCAACACAAGTGGTGCATACATTATTAAGCTCATTAAGATCTCTGTAGTCCTCAACTTCATGCGAATGATAAAGAAAATACATATTTTTAAATCGGCTACATGCCTCATGATATTAATCCAACTTCAGTGCTGCTGTCACCTCGTGCAAACCCGTTGCGTGCATATATTATACCATCTAGTGGCCACTGAAAATACCTCTTCATCTTGACTTTTTGACATCTTCCTTTGGGGTCAAAACACACTGAACTTCACTCTGTGCAATAGGTCATGCACTATTAATAATATCATCATTAGGTTTTGGGACATTATTGAAATGATTTACTGCAACAAATACGGATTCTTCTTTCTTTGCTTTTACTTATTTTAATCAACTAAACTCACTCGGTTTAACTGTATGGTGCTGCTCAGAAATGAATTGGATGAAATTATGTGGCGTTGTCTCTGGCTGGATGTGACCTCGGGGATGAAAGCTTGGATCACCACACAGTGAAAACACAACTGGAAAAAGGAAAAGCACAAACCACTGACATGTCTGGATATTTTCACACACCCCTTTAGAAACTACTCATTCCTCCCAAGGCCAATACACAAGTGGTACATCAAATTGTTTTTAAATTGTCATGTAGAGGTTGTTGTTTTTTTCTCTGTGTCCTTGTTTGCATTACTTTTATACTCTTGTCTTTTGTCCTAAAACCAGCCTCACTGACCCGTACATAGTCTGCTTTACCCTGAGAGAAAAAATGGAAAATAAATACATCTGTCTGCCAATTCTCCAACAAAGTGAGTCAGTGTGCGCCTATCAGTGTGATGTCAAGCAGAGCTCCACGGGTTACTCTGTGTTTTGGTAACCACACTGGGAGGAAGAGTAATAAGCAGTAAGTAGCTGTAAGTGGCAGGAAATGTAAACAGCAGCTTGGTTTTCATTCAGACAACTGCAGGAGCATTTAAAACAGATACACCGCTGGTTTGATGGGATTCACACTTAAAGTACAGTGAAAGTGATCATCTGAGCAACTGAAAACATATTTATTTACATATTTATTCATTTGAATAAGCTTCAAAAACATATGAGGAAACTATTACTATTCTTACTATATAACAGTGGCGGCTGGTGGAAAATGTTCTAGGTAGGGCCATCCTATCAATTTCAGTAAACATCCCAGTATGATTTAATGCAAAAGAATTAAAGTATCAAACACACATTACTACTTTGCAGTTAAATATTTAACATTTATTCCAATACGAAAAAAAGCAGTAAATAACACTTGTATAATATAACATAATATAACATAACATGTTTATTTATTGAGATGCGCCTATGGAACTTGTTATCGGAGGTAAAGATCAGGAGAAGTAAACATGAAGTGTAATTATGAATACTGATGTTAAATTAAGCTATGATGAGTTTTCACTGTTAATTTACCATCTCAATTACATGTTGATGCCTCCATGACCAAGTTAAGCAGATGAGACTGAGGACAACTATGTAGAAGAAAAGATGTTCACTTTGCCTAATATGTAGCTTGACAGAGTTCTCCATGTGTGTCCTGGTGTTCTCATGTTTCCTTACTCCCTCACTCCCTAACTGTCCGTGCTGGATCTGTCCCCGTTGCTTTAAAAAGCTAAATACGTTATTAGCATGACGTCATCCAGCTAGCCAAACCTGTCTGGTGTTCAGCTAGTACAGAAGCTTCGCATGTACTGCTTCCCTTTCCCGCTAGTCTGCTGTCTGATTGTGAGGTCAGGCTGATCTGGGATCAGCTCTTTGGCCTGCAGAATCCGCTCAAACGAGACTTGGAGGAGTAGTGCTCGCGCTCGCGCTCGCCCGTAGAGACTTGTCCTGACGAGAACGCGCAGCTAGGGGGGGCCACGCTGAATCTATTTGAGGACGCTGATTGGCTAACTTGTATGTCACTCATTTATATCTTTAATCAGCAATTGGCTAAACTGCTTCATAGACCCGCCTCTTTTGGGCCAAAACGATTTGGCCCCCCGAGCTGCGCGTTCTGAGACGTGTCGTGCACACAGGCAGAGAGCACGAGCAGACGAGCACACAGGCGGAGTGGACGAGCAGGAAAAGCATATATTTTGCGCAGATATCATATTTTACACACATTACTGGGTGCCATAGTCCATAGTTCAAAAACACAAATATTGACAATTTGTATAATTTATGATTATTATAATTATTATTATTTTTTTTTTTGTGTGTGGCTCAAGGTGGGACCAGGCCTCTATTGACCAGCCGCCACTGCTATATAATATCTCTAAAGACAGTAACGTAAAAGTAACTTGCAACAAATAGTTTTCATATTTCCTGACATTTAATTCTGTAATTACTGTAACATTTAGTTTCATGCCAGCAGGTTGTCTTTGCCATTTAAAGGGGATGACAGTAATAAAAGCCAATTCATGTGCAGCGTAATGATCATTAACTTAAGTCGAAGTAGACACACCATTAAAATACTATAATAATATTATAGTACAAGTTATGCATTCAAAATGCTTAGAAGTACAAACAAAACAACAAAATGTTCTTAAAGGATCAAAAGTACTCATTATGTAGAATGTCCCCTGTCAGTGTAATATGATAGTATTCAGTATTATTACAGAACTTTTACAGTCAGTAAGCAGTACTTAAATGTTGTAGTCAGTTGAGGTGGAGCTAATTTAATACAGTACTATAATGATGCCTTACATTTTATAAACTGATGTGTTTTTATTGTGAGATTT